TTGAAAGCTTTCCTGAGACCTTGAATGTTGAAGCGTTGATAAAAAACTTCTGAACAAGAGTCGGTATGACGCTCTTTGAAATCCTGGTAGAAAGAGCCAGCTCGGTTGTACCCCAGAAGTTGTGAAATGTAACCACCAAATGCAGGAGCTGCAGGAATATTAAAGGCATAAAGGGAAAGTTGAGTCATTCCTCTTGTACAACGGTCTTGTGGAGAGTGTCTTGTCACTCTGAATCTTTATACATAGATCTGAATATTAAACAAATGAAGCGGTCTCACAGGTCTCTTTTGTTTCTAGTTCAGGTGGGTCAATCGCTGGAAGGAAATTGGCTTTTTGATGGTTATTGAACGATATCTATATATACATGACGCTAAAGTTACACTCTATAAAACCTCACATCATCATTAAACCTTACATCGAAACATCTCACATCAACACATCTCAGATCATCATACCTCACATCATCACACCTCACATCACAACACCTGATATCACACCTCACATCATCTTACCTCACACCATCACACCTCACATCATCACATCTCACATCATCACACCTCACATCATCACACATCACATCATCACACCTCATATAATCACACATCACATCATCATACCTCACATAATCACACATCACATCACCACACCTCATATAATCACACCTCACACCATCACACCTCAAACTTTCGTCGTCATAGCCGTACCATCACACCTGCCATCATAACATCTGATATCATCACCCCTCACATCATAACACCTCGCACTATCATACCTCACATCATCACCCTCACATCATCACACCTTAATCAAACCTCACATCATCACGTCTAACATCATCACATCTTTCTTCATAACATCTCAAATCATCACACCTCACATCATCACCCCTCACATAATCAGACCTCACATCATCACGTCTCACATCATCACACCTTAATTCATAACATGTCACATCACCATACCTCACATCACCCCTCACATAATCAAACATCACATCATCACGTCTCACATCATCACACCTTTCTTCATAACATCTCACATCATCACACCTCGCATCATCATCTCTCACAGCATCACACCTCACATTATCCCACCTCATATCATCACACCTAACATCATCACATCTCACATCATCCAACCTCACATCATCACATATCACATCATAATATCTCACATCATCACACCTCACATCATCATCCCTCACATCATCACACCTCACATTATCATACCTCACATCATCACATCTCAAATCATCAAACCTCACATCATCATATCTCAAATAATCAAACCTCACATCATCACATATCACATCATAACATCTCACATCATCACACCTCACATCATCATCCCTCACATCATCACACCTCACACAATCATACCTCACATCATCACATCTCAAATCATCAAACCTCACATCATCATATCTCAAATCATCAAACCTCACATCATCACACCTCACATCATCATCCCTCACATCATCACACCTCACACAATCATACCTCACATCATCACATCTCAAATCATCAAACCTCACATCATCATATCTCAAATCATCAAACCTCACATCATCACAACTCACATCGTCACATCTCACATCATCACACCTCACATCATCACATATCACATCATAACATCTCACATCATCACACCTCACATCATCATCCCTCACATGATCACACCTCACATAATCATACCTCACATCATTACATCTCAAATCATCAAACCTCACATCATCATATCTCAAATAATCAAACCTCACATCATCACATATCACATCATAACATCTCACATCATCATACCTCACATCATCATCCCTCACATCATCACACCTATCATAATCATACCTCACATCATAACATCTCAAATGATCAAACCTCACATCATCACATCTCACATCAGCAAACCTCACATCAGCAAACCTCACATCAGCAAACCTCACATCGTCACATCTCACATCATAACATCTCACATCATAACATCTCACATCATAACATCTCACATCATCATAGCTCAAATCATCATCCCTCACATCATCATGACACCTCACATCATCACACCTCACATCATCACACCTTACATCATAACATCTCACATCATCACACCTCACATCATCACACCTCACATATCACATCTCTCATCATCACCCCTCACATCATCACACCTTACATCATAACATCTCACATCATAATACTTCACATCATCACAACTCACATCATCATCCCTCACAACGTCACCCCTCACATCATCATACCTCACATCATCACACCTCACATCATCACACCTCACATCATCACACCTCACATCATCACACCTCACTTCATAACACCTCACATCATCACACCTCACTTCATAACACCTCACATCATCACACCTCAAATCATCACACCTAACTTCATAACACCTCACATCATCACCACTGACATCATCATCCCTCACATCATCATCCCTCACATCATCACACCTCACATCATCACACCTTACATCATCACAGGTCACATTATCACACCTCACATCATCACACCTTACATCACCATTTCACATATCATCGGATTGTGGTGACTCTGTACTAGGTGCACTTTGTGTAGGCAGTGATGACTCTGTACCAGGTGCACTTTGTGTAGGTCGTGGTGACTGTACCAGGTGCACTCTGTGTAGGTCGTGATGACTATGTACCAGGTACACTCTGTGTAGGCCGTGGTGACTGTACCAGGTGCACTCTGTGTAGGTCGTGATGACTCTGTACCAGGTACGCTCTGTGTAGGTCGTGATGACTCTGTACCAGGTAAACTCTGTGTAGGCAGTGATGCCTCTGTACCAGGTGCACTCTGTGTAGGCAGTGATGCCTCTGTACCAGGTGCACTTTGTGTAGGCAGTGATGACTCTGTACCAGGTGCACTCTGTGTAGGCAGTGATGCCTCTGTACCAGGTGCACTCTGTGTAGGCAGTGATGACTCTGTACCAGGTGCACTCTGTGTAGGCAGTGATGTCTCTGTACCAGGTGCACTCTGTGTAGGCAGTGATGCCTCTGTACCAGGTGCACTCAATGTAGGCAGTGATGCCTCTGTACCAGGTGCACTCTGTGTAGGCAGTGATGCCTCTGTACCAGGTGCACTCTGTGTAGGCAGTAATGACTCTGTACCAGCTACACTCTGTGTAGGCAGTGATGCCTCTGTACCAGGTGCACTCTGTGTTGGTCGTGATGACTCTGTACCAGGTGCACTCTGTGTAGGCCGTGATGCCTCTGTACCAGGTGCACTTTGTGTAGGCAGTGATGACTCTGTACCAGGTGCACTCTGTGTAGGCAGTGATGACTCTGTACCAGGTGCACTCTGTGTAGGCAGTGATGCCTCTGTACCAGGTGCACTCTATGTAGGCAGTGATGACTCTGTACCAGGTGCACTTTGTGTAGGCCTTGGAGACTGCACCAGGTGCTCGCTGTGTAGGCAGTGATGCCTCTGTACCAGGTGCACTTTGTGTAGGCCTTGGTGACTGTACCAGGTGCACTCTGTGTAGGTCGTGATGACTCTGTACCAGGTACACTCTGTGTAGGCCGTGGTGACTGTACCAGGTGCACTCTGTGTAGGCCTTGGAGACTGCACCAGGTGCACTCTGTGTAGGTCGTGGTGACTCTGTACCAGGTGCACTCTGTGTAGGCAGTGATGCCTCTGTACCAGGTGCTCGCTGTGTAGGTCGTGGTGACACTAGGCCATGCTGACTCTGTACCTTGTACTTGTGAGGTGTTATGATGTGAGTTGTGATGGTAAGAGGTGTTATGATGTGAGGTGTTATGTGATGTGACATATTGCGAGAAAAGAAACTATAATTCCATCACCGATCTCTAAACTCGTATCTATTTTTTTTAATCAATAAGTCTCATTGTTTTTTTCTGATTTTACAAGTTTATTTGGTTGAGTATGATACTGTGGTTATTACTAGGCACAGAGCCACATTCTGTCCTGATATTGGCTTCCGAGAGACATATTACAGAGGGAGAGTTGCTGCAGTCATTTCCTCATACAGTCTCAAGTAATGAAATGTGATTCAATACCGAACAATTACCACGCTCTAGACGTTTTATTTACACAGATTCATTTGTTGTATAATAAATCACCGGGGTTTCGTGATGGGAAAAGCGTGTCTGATGCTGCAGCTATGTCGGGGTTGGAAAACTTGTTGTTACTCCGGCATTCCGGTTGTTACTAGTTACACCCCTCCCTCAAGTCCCAACTACTTGGTCATTGCAGATTTGTTTCTAACAACGAAAATGAGAAATCTAAAGAATGGCTTACTCAAAACTCGAATTTACGGATGAATGAACCTGTTCAATGGTTTAAGGGTTATATGATGCATTCGCGCTTCGGACAGGTAAACCGCCTCCCGTTGGAAATCTCAGAACGCAGGTGTTACCCGTTACTTTTATGGCATATCTTCCTTCGGGTATATAACCAGTGAGTGAGTGAGTGAGTAAGTATGGTTTTACGCCGCTTTTAGCAATATTCCAGCATTATCACTGCTGGGGACACCAGAAATGGGCTTCACACATTGTACCTATGTCGGGAATCGAACCCGGGTCTTCGGCGTGACGAGCGAACGCTTTAACCACTGGGCTACCCGACCGCCCCTGTATATAACCAGACAGTTGTTATATATAATCAGTGATGACCTCTTTTCAGCTCACACTCGAACCCCCATGTGGTCAGGACATGTAATATAAGCTTAAGATATATAACGCAGGGTGCACCTGGTACAGAGTCATCACGGCCTACACAGAGTGCACCTGGTACAGAGTCACCACTGCCTACACAGAGTGCACCTGGTACAGAGTCATCACGACCTACACAGAGTGCACCTGGTAAAGAATCATCACGGCCTACACAAAGTGCACCTGGTACAGAGTCATCACGGCCTACACAGAGTGCACCTGGTACAGAGTCACCACGGACTTCACAGAGTGCACCTGGTACAGAGTCACCACGGCCTACACAGAGTGCACCTGGTAAATGATCATCACGGCCTACACAAAGTGCACCTGGTACAGAGTCATCACTGCCTATACAGAGTGTACCTGGTACAGTTATCACTTCCTACACAGAGTGCACCTGGTACAGAGTCATCACGGCCTACACAGAGTGCACCTGGTACAGTCGTCACCGCCTACACATAGTGCATCTGGTACAGAGTCACCACGGCCTACACAGAGTGCACCTGGTACAGAGTCATCACTGCCTACACAGAGTGCACCTGGTACAGAGTCTCCACGACCTGCACAAAGTGCACCTGGTACAGAGTCATCACTGCCTACACAGAGTGCATCTGGTACAGAGTCATCACTGCCTACACAAAGTGCACCTGGTACAGAGTCATCACTGCCTATACAGAGTGTACCTGGTACAGTTATCACTTCCTACACAGAGTCCACCTGGTACAGAGTCATCACGGCCTACACAGAGTGCACCTGGTACAGTCGTCACCGCCTACACATAGTGCATCTGGTACAGAGTCACCACGGCCTACACAAAGTGCACCTGGTACAGAGTCATCACTGCCTACACAGAGTGCACCTGGTACAGAGTCTCCACGACCTGCACAAAGTGCACCTGGTACAGAGTCATCACTGCCTACACAGAGTGCACCTGGTACAGAGTCTCCACGGCCTACACAGAGTGCACCTGGTACAGAGTCATCACGGCCTACACAGTGTGCACCTGGTACAGTCATCACGGCCTACACAAAGTGCACTTGGTACAGAGTCTCCACGGCCTACACAGAGTGCACCTGGTACAGAGTCTTCAAGGCCTACACAGAGTGCACCTGGTACAGAATCATCGCTGACTACACAGACTGCACCTGGTGCACAGTCATCACTGCCTTTACAGAGTGCACCTGGTACAGAGTCATCACTGCCTACACAAAGTGCACCTGGTACAATCATCACTGCCTACACAGAGTGCACCTGGTACAGTCATCACGGCCTACACAAAGTGCACTTGGTACAGAGTCATCACTGCCTACACAGAGTGCACCTGGTACAGAGTCATCACTGCCTACACAGAGTGCACCTGGTACAGAGTCATCACGGCCTACACAAAGTTCACTTGGTACATAGTCATCACTGTCTACACAGAGTGTACCTGGTACAGAGTCATCACTGCCTTTACAGAGTGCACCTGGTACAGTCAACACGGCCTACACAAAGTGCACTTGGTACAGAGTCATCACTGCCTACACAGAGTGCACCTGGTACAGAGTCATCACTGCCTACACAGAGTGCACCTGGTACAGAGTCATCACTGCCTATACAAAGTGCACCTGGTACAGAGTCATCACGGCCTACACAGAGTGCACCTGGTACAGAGTCCTCACGGCCTACACAAAGTGCACCTGGTTCAGAGTCATCACGGCCTACACAGAGTGCACCTGGTAGAGACTCATCACGGACTTCACAGAGTGCACCTGGTACAGAGTCATCACGACCTACACAGAGTGCATCTGGTACAGAGTCATCACGACCTACACAGAGTGTACCTTGTACAGCGTCATCACTGCCTACACATAGTGCACCTGGTACAGTCATCACGGCCTACACAGAGTGCACCTGGTACAGTAATCACTGCCTACACAGAGTGCACTTGGTACAGAGGCTCCACGGCCTACACACAGTGCACCCGGTACAGAGTCACCACTGCCTACACAGAGTCCACCTGGTACAGTCATCACCACCTACACAAAGTGCACTTGGTACAGAGGCTCCACGGCCTACACACAGTGCACCTGGTACAGAGTTTTCAAGGCCTACACAGAGTGCACCTGGTGTACAGTCATTACTGCCTACACAGAGTGCACCCGGTACAGAGCCATCACTGCCTACACAAAGTGAACCTGGTACAGAGTCATCACGACCTACACAGAGTGCACCTGTTACAGTCATCACTGCCTTCACAGAGTGTACCTGGTACAGAGTCATCACTGCCTACACAAAGTGCACCTGGTACAGAGTCATCACGGCATACACACAGTGAACCTGGTACAGAGTCATCACGACCTACACAGAGTGCACCTGGTACAGAGTCATCACTGCCTACACAAAGTGCACCTGGTACAGAGTCATCACGACCTACACAGAGTGAACCTGGTACAGTCATCACTGCCTACACAGAGTGCACCTGGTACAGTCATCACTGCCTATACAGAGTGCACCTGGTACAGTCATCACGGCCTACACAAAGTGCACTTGGTACAGAGTCTCCACGGCCTACACAGAGTGCACCTGGTACAGAGTCATCACGGCCTACACACAGCGCACCTGATACAGAGTCTCCAAGGCCTACACAGAGTGCACCTAGTACAGAGTAATCACTGCCTACACAGAGTGCACCTGGTACAGAGTCACCACGGCCTACACAGAGTGTACCTGGTACAGAGTCATCACTGCCCACACAGAGTGCACCTTGTACAGAGTCATCACGACCTACACAGAGTGCACCTGGTATATAGTTTCACTGGACACACTTAAAGCACATTCATCAAGGCCAACACAGTGTAGACAGGGAAGTGATAAACTATATATTGGCGTGTGTTGACTCACGTCACTATAGACATTGCTTTATAGCTAAATGTTAAAAGTACGGTCAATTGTACATGGATATAAACAGATATATGTCATTCCTATCACATGTCCTTGGTGGTCAGTGGGTCGTTTTAGTTGGTATTGCTACAGAAAACACTGCATGGAGTAAGGGCCGATTTTCCGTTACACAACATCTCCATCCTAAAGCAATACATTTATGAGAAATCCGAGGACGTATAGTATCCCCCGTTCACTTACATCTCTCGTTGTATTTTGACGTCAATGCATCCGATGCAAGCGAACTTTTTTTAACATCTTTAGCGGATACCAAATTGTGGTTAACTTCCAAACAGGTTCAAATGTATAAGTACTATCACAACCTTAACCAGCCACCCGTTTTCAACATTTACACGTGTTAATAAGCAGCTTGTTTAAGTATTGTAGTTACTTGTACATGTAACTGGTGTAGATGTCATCAACCTAGCCTAGAGCACTCGCAAGGACGGCAATCATGGCGTTCTGTTGCGACGATGAAGGTGACGATTTACTGACCCGTGACCAGACTGAGACACAGGCGACATGCAAAGGAAGTAGTGAAAAGGAAGATGTTGATGCTGATTGGGTCGATGCAGCAGACATGGCGGGAAGAGCGCCTTGTGCCTATTGATCGACCCACCAGTTCCGAGGCCTGCTCATTACGGTTTCGTTCTTCCGAATTCCGCACTAATTGAGCTGGGGGGCCACGGAGACGGACGATGATGCTCGGCCGGAGTGGTACGAGTCTGCCGTGGTGGAAGGCGTTGTGTGATGAGGGCGTCCAAATATCGGGCTATTAATCACTGAGGAAGTGGCAGACATGGTACCAGGCCAATCTCTTCATCGCAGAATCGACTCTACCCTTCTGTAAGAATTGGTTAGTGCGGTTGTAGACGCTGGGATAAAGCTGTGACTGTCACAACTTAAGGACCGTGCACCTTAATTAACAAAACTTGGTGTCTTTGACAAAGAATGGGAGAAGTTTTGTCAAAAGTATCTTGGAATGTAATTTTGGGTGGATTGTGACTCGGTAACTCACGTGAACCTTCTAATTCCCGGTGAGGAGGAGGCACTTTTGAATGAGATTGAGAGTTTGATGGCGTGCACAGCCTGCTGAAACGGATACAGATTCAAATACAGGTAGGCTATTTTATGTCGTCTTTACCGTGAGTGTCATCAGCCGGATTTGTGATTCTGTCAGTGAGGGATCAGCGCTTAGTTATTCCTGGTCCCAATCAAAAACCCACATATGTTGTGTAGTCACAGGTGCACACATACACTCCCACTCCCGCGAACAATAGCTCAATCTAATTTCGTTTGCTGCTAATCATGGCGACATCTATAAGTATTTAAACATGTGCTGAAAATCCTATGCACGAATAGTCATATTTTCTTCTACAAAATGAAAAAGTAGCATTCATTCAATGGACATCGTAAAAACTGGAAGGTAATTTGACGCTGAAAGGGACTATTTTTACGCGTTTTCCTTTTTAGTATGCGGGAATGTCCACATAGTTATCATGTCATGATAACGGTGACATAGTTGCCATCACTATAATACATTGCGTTGTATTTCTAAGAACATGAAACTTTCAGCGACAACGGCCCTCTGTAATTTACACTTATTCAATGTGACAAGGCCCCCGTTTCCGTGGCTTGCAATAAGCGATGGTAATGACGTCTCAAGTATTAATGGCTTTACGCCTAACAATAAAACCATGACGACCAAGCATTGATTAAAGTCCATCACTAAACAATTGGAGTGATTACGCTGTTATTAATGGTTTGTTGGCTTCTTTATATGAATCTCTACTTTACAGATGAACATGGCCATGAAATAATATATAACCTACCTAGGAGATCGATGTAGGTATTGGTTGTATTCTACCTGAGGCCTAGATCGATGAAGGACGGGGCATGTTCGATCTGAGTCTTGTGTAAGCGTCATCAGCAGGCCTATTATCTTCCACAAAAGACATCCCTTGCTGTTTCACCACCATATAAGAAACTATTGAACGATAAGGAAATTGAATTTAGTCCGACAAGTTGTTCACTTGGCGTAGACATTGTAGAAATCCAAGGAATGGCCGAGTTTATGTATGCTGTCTTGAAAGCACTAATGATTTATATGTTAGATACTGAAGTTGACAGGAATAGGAAACTGTGTCATTTCGAAATTTGATCAGAATAATTAAAAAGATATAAATGATATTTACAAAATGCATCAGATAAAGCATATTGTTGAAATCTGGGTATATTGGCCCGCAGGCCAAGATACGTGACAACAGAGAGCGTTATACTCACTGGCAACATCAAAATAGAGCTTATATGTCAGCCTGTTTCACAGAACAACCACAATATATAGATAGATGAAAAGCTGAAGAACATGAATATTTGTCAGCCTGTTTCGCAGAACAACCACAATATATAGATAGATGACAACTTGAAGAACATGAATACTGGTCAGCCTGTTTCACAGAACAACCACAATAAATAGATAGATGACAACTTGAAGAACATGAATATTTGTCAGTCTGTTTCACAGAACAACCACAATAAATAGATAGATGACAACTTGAAGAACATGAATATTTGTCAGTCTGTTTCACAGAACAACCACAACAAATAGATAGATGAAAACATGAAGAACATGAATATTTGTCAGTCTGTTTCACAGAACAACCACAATAAATAGATAGATGACAACTTGAAGAACATGAATATTTGTCAGTCTGTTTCACAGAACAACCACACTAAATAGATAGATGACAACTTGAAGAACATGAATATTTGTCAGTCTGTTTCACAGAACAACCACAATAAATAGATAGATGACAACTTGAAGAACATGAATATTTGTCAGTCTGTTTCACAGAACAACCACAATAAATAGATAGATGAAAACATGAAGAACATGAATATTTGTCAGTCTGTTTCACAGAACAACCACAATAAATAGATAGATGACAACTTGAAGAACATGAATATTTGTCAGTCTGTTTAACAGAACAACCACAATAAATAGATAGATGACAACTTGAAGAACATGAATATTTGTCAGTCTGTTTCACAGAACAACCACAATGAATAGACAGATGAAAACTTGAAGAACATGAATATTTGTCAGTCTGTTTCACAGAACAACCACAATGAATAGACAGATGAAAACTTGAAGAACATGAATATTTGTCAGTCTGTTTCACAGAACAACCACAATAAATAGATAGATGACAACTTGAAGAACATGAATATTTGTCAGTCTGTTTCACAGAACAACCACAATAAATAGATAGATGACAACTTGAAGAACATGAATATTTGTCAGTCTGTTTCACAGAACAACCACAATAAATAGATAGATGACAACTTGAAGAACATGAATATTTGTCAGCCTGTTTCACAGAACAACCACAACAAATAGATAGATGACAACCTCCCCTTTAGGTTATTTGTCATAGGACTGCCCAGGGCTGAATGTCGGTCCTGATAGAAGAGATTGCGAGAGTGTCTCTTTGTCTTTGTTAAAATTCTGATGGTTGATCTTCAGTCTTCTTGTGTTCAGTTCACTTCAATCCAGTATTTATGAAAGTGTATATAGACTATAAGGGGTTTATATTTTTGTTAATTTCAGGAATCCTGTGAAAGTCAGTGTAATTGAAGAACCAAAAGTTATGTTGACATAATTGCTTTATACAATTGGTTTATACAATTGCTAGTTTTGCCGGCTTTTAATGACGCACAGTTCTGGACCTAGTACCTGCATGCATGTGTTGGTGGTCCACCATTTCTGATTTAACTGTTACCCAGTCATATTACAAATGTTTGTTTTCAAGCTAACATGATTACTGTTCCTGGCGCAATACATGCGTCATATGCATGGAGCAGAGCATAACGATAAGGGGTGTCAGTAGCTATAAAAAAACACCTTTCCTCACAGCTTCTAACGCTATGAAGAAATTAGGGCTTATCATGCAACCCTGGCGGGTCCCATATTACTAGCGACATAGCCATAGAGCTTATGCAGAAAGTTTAGAAAAAGCCAAAATAGTCAGTAGAACCTGCCTTTTGGGAGGGAGTTGGGTTAAACGCCGCTTTTAACATTATTCCAGTTATATCGCGGCGTGCCAGCTTAATGTGGGAGGAAAGCCCGAAGTAATGCAGGTCTCAGACGTTTACCGCTTCGGTGAACCCAACGAGCACGGGTATGGTGCTGACAAACCTAGAAACATAATCGGGACGAACCGGGATTCGATATAATGTATATAATGAGTGAGTGAGTATGGTGTAAGATTTAGCTGTATTTCAGCAATATCACGGCGGATGACACCAGAAATGGGCTTCACATACTGTACTCATGTCGGGAATCGAACTCGGGTCTTCGGCCCGACGAGCAGGCGCTTTAACCATTATTGTCCA